AGCAAGGTGATGTCTCTGCTTTTTAATGTGCTGTCTAGGTTTGTCAGAGATTTTCTTTCAAGGAGACAGACAAAGGCAGAGACTGGAGAGATGCAGTAATAGGCCAAGGATACCAAGGATTCCTGCCAGAAGCCAGCAGAGGGGCACATGACAGTCTCTCTCAGGGATTCTAGAAGGAACTAACTCTACCAACATCTGATTTAGGACTTCTGGATTCCAGAACTGTAAGAGAATAAATTTCTTTCTTTCTTTTTTTTAAAATTATTTTTTCAAAATTTCTTTCTTTCTTTGGCCACACTGAACACCATGCAGGTTCTTAGTTCCCTGACCAGGAATTGAACTTGGGTCTCCTGCAATGGAAGTGCCAAGTCCTAAACCACTGGACCACAGGGGATTCCTGAGCATAAATGTACATGCTTTGAAGCCCCACAGTCTCTGGTAGCCTATTACAGCATCCCTAGGAGACCATATAGCTCCCTTCCCTTCTTTGCATGGCCCTTATTGTTGTTTAGTTACTAAGTTACGTCTGAATCTTTGTGACCCCATGGACTGCAGCATACCAGGCTTTCCTGTCCTTCACTGTCTCCTAGAGTTTGCTCAAACTCATGTCTGTTGAGTTGGTGATGCTATGTAGCCATCTCATCCTCTGTTGCCCCCTTCTCCTTTTGCCTTCAGTCTTTCCCAGCATCAGGGTCTTTTCCAATGAGTTGACTCTTCACATCAGGTGGCCAAAGTATTGGAGCTTCATCTTCAGCGTCAGTCCTTCCAATGAACATTCAGGGTTGATTTCTTTTAGGATGGACTGATTGGATCTCCTTGCTGTCCAAGGGACTCTCAAGAGTCTTCTCCAGCACCGCAGTGCATGGCCCACCATCTAGGTACTTTGAGTTCAACCCTCTTTAAGAGTGGTACATTACCCATATTCCCCAAATCCCTTCCCTGGAGTCCTGCTCCCCCTTTTGGACAGAGGCCCCCCCCCTCCCCCTGCCACCTGGCCAGGCCCTCCTGCTGGCTCTGGGCTTCTCCTGATCCTTCTAGCCAGACCATCAGGTCGTGGGGAAGGCAGTGGGGGAGGAGCCAGGAAGTGCCACATTCAGAGCTCTCAGGCTGATACAGGGTCTACACCCAATCCCCTACACCGAGCTCACTTGTGATTCTGTTTATTATAGTCTCAAAAGAGAAAAACTGTAGAAAAGAGAGGGTTTTGGAGTCTGATGTGACCTAGCCTCCTGAGTCTGTAGATGTGCCCCCCAGCCGGAGTGTCCCCTCTTCTCCTCTTGTTTGTTTAGGGGCACTCTGCTTCTTTCTCTGAAGGTGGTAGGTATCTTTCCAGAACATGAGTATTTCTCCAATGGTTCACCACCTGGCCAGCTATGTGGGCATAACTTGTGGTGTTAAAAAGCAAATGTGTCCAGGGTTCAGCTTTGTGCATGTGTGCTCAGTCCTGTCCGACTCTTTGCAACTCCAAGGATGGTAGCTCATTAGGCTCTTCTGAACATGAATTTTCCAGGCAAGAATGCTGGAGTGTTGCCATTTCCTCCTCCAGCGGATCTTCCTGACCCAGGGATCGAACTCGAGTCTCTTGCATCTCCTGCATTGGCAGGAGCATTCTTTACCGCTGAACCACCTGGGAAGTGCTTTATTCACCTTGGGAACTGAATCAAAATAGTGATTCCCTATTTTGTTATGTTCTTGCAGATGATTCTGCTGTGGGTCAGGGTTGAGACCCACTGGTTTACAGGGCAGGGTCTTGGTTTGGGTTCCCCAGAAGTAGATTCTTTTTTTTTCTTAACTTTTTGGCCACACCATGTGGCTTGTGGGATCATAGTTCCCTGACCAGGCAACCTGTGCTCCTTGCAGTGGAAGCGTGGTGTCTTAACCACTGGACTTCCAGAGAAGGAGTCACACATTTATTTAGGAAGTGGCCCCAGGAACAAGGAGTGGGGGATGAGGCAGGGGAGGAAGGAAGTCAACATGGGGTGCATGACAGAGTGGGTTACCACTGCGGGCAGCTGGGACTCAGGGAAACCAATGTGGGTCTTGCCTAAGTTGGGGGAGGTGGGCACCTATTCCTTGAAGGCTGCTTCTGGGGCAGGAACTCCCTGACACTTCTGTCTGGCCCCTGCATGTTCAAGCATATTCCCATGGCCAGGAAGAAAGCCTCAGGCAGCAATACATGTATTCTCATGATGTGCCTGCTGGCATGTAGAGGTGAATGCCCGGGGAACAGGCCGAGGTACCAGCAGTGGTGGCTGCAGGTGGACAATAACAAGAAAAATCATAGCTACCTGCTGGGAAGGCTACAAGGTGCCGGGTGACCCCTAACTGGGGACTCACAAGTTTTCTCCGAAGGTCTGCAACATGGTGGACAGCAAACCGAGCCACGTACACTGAGTTACGCTGCAGAGGCTGACGAAGGGCACACAGACTCCGAAAGGAAGAGGCAGCTGGGTGGTCTGGCTCAGTGTCCTCCACTGTCTGCCCCAAGCCTTCCTGCCTGGCTCGAGCCTGCAAACGCAGCAGGCACTTTCTCCTGGCCCATCTCGAAGCCCAGGCTGGGAGGGTACCCTCTGTCACCTTCAGAAATCTGGCTTCTGGTTGAGAGAAGCCCACTTCCTCCCATGAGCCACACCAGGCATGACTGTGCCTTTGGGGAGACCCCCATCTTCTCCTCTCCCCTGTGGCCTAAAATGCCCCCAGTGTGACCCCCGGAGCTTGCGCACAGCCGCCAGGACATTTCATGCCCGAGTGTGGCTGTGGTTTTCACCCTGACATTCAAGGCTTCGGTTATTGCCTGAGTGTACAGCAGACGTAAGGGTCCAGGAACAAAATGATTTAGATTCCTGCCCTCAGAGATCTCCTTGGCCAGCCTGCTGTGATGCCCAAATTTCCTGCCACCATTTGTCACTCTTCCGCACCAAGGCCCGGTCAGCACGTCCTTGTTCAATGCAAATTTGTCACCTAGCTGGAGTTAACACATTAATCCGCCAACACCAATTCATCATCGGCTTTCACATTAGTGGCGAGCATGGAGATGAGGTAATGGGACGCTGGACAGGTGAATTGTGATGAGGAAGGAGCAGGAAAAGCAGACTGTGAGTCACAGCTGGTGAGAAATGGCCCTGAATGGGGGTTGGGGGGATGGGCTAGGCGAGCAGCAAAGGTGGTGAGGTGGGGGGGTGGGGGGGGGGCGGCCAGGCCAGGGGCCTGGTTGGACCAAACAAGGACTAGATGGAGCAGTATAGAGGTTTCCTCTTCTGGAAAGGCCCTCGGGGTCATCATGTCCTTCTTCACATGGCCTGAGGCCTGGGGCTTTTCCCAGCCTGGGCCTTCCCCAGCTGTGCCTGGCCAAGCTGGTCTGGCAAGTGCCATTCCTGCCTGAGCAGCATCCTCAGATCCAGGCTTGGTTCTTGCTCCGGGTGCTCACAGGGGCCACTGACCCCTCTCTGCAAAGGCAAACATCTCTCCAGGGTCAAGAAGTGGAGGGGAAGGGAGGACATGCATGCTTCCTGGAGTTGGAAGGAGCCTTAGTGAACCTCACGTGTGCCTGCCAAGTCACTTCAGTCATCTCTGACTGTTTGTGAGGCTATGGACTGTAGCCTGGCTAGGCTCCTCTGTCCATGGGATTCTCCAGGCAAGAGTACTGGAGTGGGTTGCCGTTTCCTCCTCCAGGGGACTCTTCCTGACCCAGGGATCGAACTCGTGTCTCCTGTGGCTCCTGCATTGCAGGTGGATTCTGTACCGCTGAGCCATGGGGTGAGGTGGGGCAGGGTGAGGGAAACCGAGGAGCCCCCTTGACTTTCAGGCATAACCCACCGATTAACGGAGGGTCTGAGACTAGAACCCAAGCCTACAGAGCACCCACCTGTCCCTGTTTCTGGTTTCAATGGAAGAGCCTCAGTGTCACAGGCCGAGTTCAAAAAAAGGAAGCAAAGGAGAGCTGCTTCAGTCTCTTTCCAGAGAGGGCCAAAGGATGGGTGAAGGTTGCAAAGCGAAATCGTGGGTGTGAAGGGGCCAATGCAGAAGCCCTGTGGCCGCAGAGGCAGGGGCAGCGACCCGAGGGAGGGCCCTGGCACCGGGCCTAAGGGGGCAACCTCCTCCTAGCGCCGACTTCCTCTGTGCTCTGCAGGAGCCCAAGCAGCCCTCGGCCCTCAGAGCTGGTGGCACCCGGCATGCTTCCGAAAGGGGGACCTGGGGAAGTTGCATGGCTGGAAGGAGGCTCAGGGACGCCCGCCTTCCCGCCTGCCCACCCCAGCGCCCCGCCTCGGGCCGGGAATGAGCGCCGCTGGGCCGCGGCCACGAGGTGGCGCCGGCGCGCCGAGGAACCGTGGTGGCCGCTCCCGGGCCGCCCCATCCGCTCCTCGGCCGCCTCCTCCGAGGAAACAATGCGGCGCCTCCGGGCGTAACGCAGCGCGGGCTGGACACCGGACACCCGAGCGCGGGCAGCGGAGAGAGCGGGCGGCAGGGCGGGCGCGGAGCGCCCTCGCCGGGGGCCATGGGCGCGGCGCCGTACGCGGCCGGGGAGCGGCGCGGCCCGGAGGCGCGGGGGGCCGGGGCGCGGGGCCGGGGCCGCCGCTAGCCGGCACCGAGGGCGCGGGCCCGGGCGGGGATGAGGGAGCCCGCGGCGGGGAGCCCGTCTGTGCGTCGCGGCGCCGTCCCGCCCTGCGAGCGAGCCCTTGCAGGCAGACGCGCGGCCGGCGGTCTGGGGGCGCGCCGCCTCCTGGCCTCCAGAATGTGAAGCGGAGAGGGCGGAGACGCAGAGACGGCCCGGCCGGGCGTCCTCGCCGGCCTCCGGCAGCCGCGCGGCTCCCCGGCCCCTGCCCGCCGAGACCCCGTCGACCCCGCGGGCCGCAAAGCCTCCGGGCCCCGCGCCCCCTCCTCGCCTCGCTTGGACCTGGCTTCGGCCCGCAGAGGGTTCGCGGCCAGGACGTGGCCAGAGCCGAGCTCGGGACCGTCCGGCCGGCCTCGCCCTCGGCTTCTCGCCCGGACAAGTTTGAACAATGATCACAGTCAACCCCGATGGGAAGATAATGGTCAGAAGATGCCTGGTCACCCTGAGACCCTTTCGGTAAAGTTCTTTCCCGTAGGCGCGGGGAGGGCTTTTTCTCCAAGTGGGCGCGGGGTAGGTGGGCGAGGTCAGCCCCTGCGAGGATGCCTGTCCCTACGGTGACTGTGACTGTCCCAGTAGCAGAGGGGGGGCGGTTTGTGCTTCCACCCTTCGTGGTGGCCAGCGGGGCTGGGAAAGGCATGGAGCTGGGGTCCCGGTTCGGGTGGGGAGGGTGTATGATTCGGGGACGTGGACCAAGTTTGGTATAGATTCGGAGAGGACTCGGGTTGCGAAGGTGGGAAATGGGGCGGAAATCACCCATGTTGTGGTCCTGGGCCCGCGAAGTTGCCCCAGCCAGGGCGCCCCTTCCCTGCCTCTCCGGGTCCTTCCCCACCTCGCGATCGGCCCCACCCCCGCGGCAAAGTTAGCGCTCGGAGCGGGGTGGCACCCCTACCCGGCCGGCCCGCCCACCCCCTCTGCCCGTGCCGCCCTCTTTGACCCCGCCTTCTGCCCGCACTCTTTTTCTCTCGGCGGGTGCGGGCCTCTGTCCCACGGGAGGGCCCCGAGATTGGGGCAAAGACCCCCCCTCCCCCCCCGGGAATTCGATCCCCGACCGCGGGCCTTGGAAAGGTTGGGGCAGGGGCGGCAATGTGGGAAGGAGGGGTGGCCAGGGCGTGGAGGCAGAATGGAAGTCAAGACCGACCTCCTAGTCCGACCTGGGCGGTCCAGACCAGGCAGGGCTATGGACTCTGGGGGGCTGGCTAGGCTCTGCGGGTCCCACCCCAGGAACCCCCAGAGCCTGGCGGTTCCGGGGCAGCTACTGCTCCTCCCAAGTGCCGTCGGAGCCAGGCCTGCAGCCAGGGTTGGGACGCTAAGCAATGAGCGCCTAGCAGAATTGGGGTGTCACCTCGCCCAGGGGCTGGACGGCGGAGGTCGCGAGGGAGCTGCGGGCCCTGGGGGGGAGAAGGGGGTGGCCTGACTCCAGATGCGGTCACAGGTGGGATTTGGGTGAGGGAGGGAGCCTGTGAGGGTGGGAACTGTACAGGCAGAGGTGCCTGAAGTTTGGGGTACGGGAGGGGCCAGATTTGAGCCCCTCCCCTCCAGACCTGAGGCTGAGACAGGGGACCCTCCTATGCTCCCCACTCCAGATGGGGAGACCGTGGTTCCCACCTCCCCATTGCCTCCCTCCGCCCCTTGCTCCCACCCCCCACCCCAAGCCTATTGTGCAGAGTTGAGGAGACAACCTTTAGGGCAACAGGGATCGAGCTGGACCTCCAGTGTCTGGAGGATGTAAGAGGACTACAGAACCAGGGGTCCCCAGGGTAGAGCCTTGGGCGGGTGATTGGGTGTGTCAAGAGCCCCCACCCCGCTAAAGTTCCCCTGCGAAGCAGGATGGGAAGCTATCATCTCTTGAAAGGACCTTGTTCCTCCAGGGAAATCCTCAAATCCCTAGCCAACCAGACAGTCCTCAGCCCTGTCTCTCCCACCCAGTGTTGGCCTCTCCCTCCAGGCCGTGGGGAGCCCAGCCGCTGACCCCAGCTTGGCTGGACATTTCGCAGCACGGTTAAAGGTGGTGGCTGACCGCAGCACCACGGACAGCGCCAGCTCCCTTAAGCTCCTTCCCTCTGGAGTCCTGCCCCTGTGGCTCTTTCCGGCTCTTTCCTAAAAACAGGATTCAGAGGTGGGATTGCCTAGGTCCCCTCCCCTCCCCCCAGGTTATGTAATTTCACCTCAGGGTAATCCTAGGCTGCCCAGAGACCCACAGCCACCAGTGAAGTCTTCAAATCCGCTTCACATGGTTGGGGGTGGTGGAGTTGTGTTTACAGCCTCCAACCATATCACCTCTATTTGTTAATCCTCCAGGGCAGACTGCTCCTGTTGGTTTTCCCAGAGTCTCTGGCAGGGTTCTTACTCTCTAGTTGCTTCTGGAATGTTGCTTGAGTAGATATGAGGGTGGACAAAATCATCTTAATTTGAATCTACTGTAAATGGCCCTGGGATTGGGGTCTGGCAGAGGGAGATGCAGATGAGGTGTTGGGGCTTGAGGTTCTGTGTAAAGGCCTAGGTACCTTCTCATAGCAGGTTTTTGGACCCTGGCAGTCCAGTTCTAAATATGAATACCCCATAGCTGGGGAAGGGGAAGGAGGAGTAGGAGACAAGAAACTTGGAGAGATCCATCCTTGTCCTCAGGCTGGGGGGACAAACTGCTTTTCCCCAGGATCTTCTTGGGTGTGTGACCACCCTCCCCCTACAATGTCCCTCTGACTGCTAGCCTGAGACCAGCCTGGCTTCGTCTTGGAGATCCAAGGGCCAGAGCCCCACCCCCAGGCTTGGTGGAATTCAGTGAGGGGTCTCTGGGAGGTGAGGGAGCTGGGGGGAGCTCCCTTTTCCATCTCTGCTTTGGGGTTTGTTCTGCTCCCCTCTCTGATTTAATCTCTAACGGCTTCCTTTAAATATGGGTTGGGAATTTTGTTGTGCTTTTATTTTCTTCCACAATTATGTGTTTTCTTTAATGGACCAAATTTTAATTAAATACTGCTCTGCCAGTTTCAGATAATGAAGATTAAAATGCATAAGGCAAGTCTTGCATAGAGATACAGACAAATGTGGGGTTTGAGGATGGGGGTGGAGGTGGGGGGATGGAGGTCTCTGGCATCAATTGTGGGGTTCCCCATGGTGAGGCTGGCTCCAACAGAAATGGGGTTCTTCCTCACTCTGACCTGAAGGAGAGCAGCTCCCCTTTCAGCTCTGCCAGCTCATCAAGTCCTTGGATAGACTCAAGGTCTCAGAACAGCCTCCACGTCTGCTGCCCTAAGGCCAGATTGGCCCAGAATCTGGTATAGAAGCAGCAGGAGCCTGGGGCCAAACGTGAGGGTGGGTTCCCTGCTGGGTGTCCCCCAGGAGATTCTCTAGTGCCACTTGGCATGTAATCAAGTCTATGTGTTGAAGTATAAACAGTTGTGTTTTGGTCAACTCCCCGGAACACTGTGACAGCACACACTTGTGTGACACCCCTTGCACAGGGGTTGACTTACTCTGACGGGTCCGTGGTTCACGCTCTCGTGTGCCTGTCTGGTGAAGATGTGGGTTAGGGAGAGTCTGGATACAGAGAGTGGCCACATGACTCTGTCCTTCTAGACATTACCATCTGGTAGTAACGGGAGCCTCTCCTCCACCCCTGCCCCTCACCCTGAACATGACAAGGCTGTGTTAAAGCGAGCTCATGACTGGTTACAGCAGCAAGACATGTGTACACAGGAGCTGACCATGTTCCAAGTGATTGATGGGATCCAGGTGGGTTTTGTCTGGACCAATTACTTGCCCTCCAGCTGGCATCGGGTTCTGCTGTCTTCACCTACACCAGTGGTCCTCAAACTTGAGCGTGTATCTGGGTGACCAAGAGAACCTGTTCAAACACACTGCTTATCCCCCTCCCAGAGTGTGTGATCCCCTACGCCCGGGACTGGGGCCCAAGAATGGGCATTTCTAATGTGTCCAAGCTGCTGCTGCTGCTGCTGCTGGCCTGGAGGCCACACTGTGAGGACCTCTGCTGTGAAGGGGCCAGCTTCTGTCTGGAGGCTAGGAGCTGCCCAACCTCACACCTTGTGTGCCTCAGTGTCCCTCGTGGTTTTTTGGGTGTGGCTCATGGTCACTTCTTTGTAGTCCAGCTCTCCTTATCCTGTGTGATGGGAGACCTCCTGGCCGGGAGCTCAGGCCCCTGATCTTTTACTCCTCCGTTTATCCTCCCTTCCTCACCCATTCATTCGTAGGGAGCCCTTACGGCATCGCAGTGCGTGAGCTGACCCGCCCTATTGCTCTCCGCAGGCTTTTTGTCCTGGGCACTGGCTTCTTCTCGCTCTGCTTCCTGATGACTTCTCTGGGAGGCCAGTTCTCGGCCCGGCGCCCGGGGGACTCCCCCTTCACCATCCGCACAGAAGGTATCTTGGTGGGGAAAGGGGTGGGGAGGTTTGGGGGTTGGAGGAGAGGGAAGCCTTTGAGCCTCACCCTGCAGGAGGCTTTCTGAGGCTCTCTCTTGAGGGCCTGGCCACCTTGTTGGTGGACGCGTGAATGGTCGGGGCTTTAGCTCTTGACCTGGCTGTACTCATCAGCCTCCTTCTGGCCTAGGTTCCCAGGTCAGGAAGGGCCTTTGAGCCAGGAGCTCCCTGGCATCACAAGAGGTTGTCTGTGTTGCTTCTCTAGTGGGGCAGTTTGGGGTCTCTGGATATGACCCCTGTCTGTTTGAGACACATGCAGTCTGCTCCTTTGGCCCAGGCTGTGGCCACAGCACAGGCAAGACTGGCTGTGGGCTAACGTGTCTTATCTCCAAGCTCTATGGTTCTTCGTCCCTGCCCACGTGATACTCGCGAGGCAGGGGAATGGAGGGTCAGAGCCTGGGCTCTGGGGACCGGATGGGCTTGGTTTGTACCATGGTTCATCACCTACCAGCTGTGTGCCATTGGCCAGGTCACTTAACTCACTTGCAGAGAAGGAGAGGAGTGACTGTTTCCCAGGGTCAGATGGGACGAGCTCATGTGGCACGGGGTGTGACCGGGTGATGGTCTGGGAGGCCACCCTCCTGAAGGTGGGTCCTGCCCCCCTCCATTCTGCTCAAGGAAGAGTGGAGAGCGGTTCAGAAAGTCCTGCTCGGTCATAGGGGCTGTCCCAGTAACCATGAGAAGGAGGGGCACAGTGGGGAAACTGAGGCAAGGGGGGGTTTCTGTAACTGTTCAGGGGGCTGCTCTGTGGACTCTTCCCTTCCCCCCACTCCCCAGGAAGTCTTTGTTTGACATCCACCTTCTCGAGTCCCCAGGCCTCATCTTTCTGACTCCCCTCTTCGCAACGATGGATAAACCCTCCAGGAGGATGGGTTGTCTTCTGGGGTGGGTGCTCTGAGGGGCACTTACTCTGCCATCTGGTGTCTCCTCTTTAGATTCATGCTTTCAGTTTAACTTGTACTTCTTTAAACTTGCAAAAATCTCCCAGCAGGAATTTCACATTTATTAGTCATTCAAACCTGAATGTAAATTAATCTGTCCCTTCTCTGATTCATGGAGGTCCCTCAGTCTATTTGAGCCTCCGTCTTCTCTGGTAAACGGGGCTAACAGTGCCCACTTCCCCAGGATTGCATGAGGGGGCATGAAGATAACATAGATGAAGGGTCCTGAGCAGTTTCTGGCAAAGAGTGTGAGCTCCGCAAACATTTACAGGATGTGCTGAGTCTGAGATGCAGGAGAGGATGTTTAGAGAAGAGGACCAAGGAGGTGCCAGGACCTGGGATCTCTGCGTGGGAGACTCCTGAGGATTGAGATTTGAGGAGGGGGTGAGGCAGTTGAGAAGGTGCCCTTGAGGGGTAGCTTGGGGGCAGGTGGGGGGAGGTTGAGAGTCGGGGGTGGGGTATAAGGAACGATGTTCAGGCTACCTGGGGGCCACTCAGGGCAAGGGGGTGTGTCTGTCTGGGTGGGTTTGGGCAAGCTGACCTCTGAAAGGTCGAGGATCTAGGAGGTGGGAATCAGGGGCTGGAGGAGGGGTGTATGGGTGGGCTCTGATTCTAGTGCTCATCTCCCTGATGGTGGCCCCCATCCTGGTAGTGCTCAGAGGACCAGGGCTTGTGGGGGTCTTGCTGTGCTCTGTACTAAGCACTTCTGCCCAGCGTGGGGAGAAGGGGCCCAGCTCCAACCTAGATCTTGTGTCTAAGGGGAGAGCAGAGCTACCAAGGGGAGAGGACTTGTCCAGGGTCCCACAGTTAGAGTTAGACGTGTGTGTGTGTGTGTGTGTGTGTGTGTGTGTGTGTATGTCTGTGTGTGGTGCATGTGTGTAAACTTTCCATCTGAGTATGTGCTGTGTGTGTACTTAGTCGCTTCAGTCGTGTCCGAATCTCTGCAGCCCATGGACTGTAGCCTGCCAGGCTCCTCTGTCCATGGGGATTCTCCAGGCAAGAACACTGGAGTGGGTTGCCATGTCCTCCTCCTGGGGATCTTCCCAACCCAGGGCCTGAACCCAGATCTCCCACACTGCAGGCGGATTCTTTACCTTCTGAGCCACCAGGGAAGCCCTTTCCCATCAGAGTATAGTATCCAGAAACTGAATCCATCCAGGCAGCCAGCAACCCAGATCCAAAGACAGAGCATCATCCGTCCCCAGAAGCACCCTCAGGCTTCCTTCCACTCTCCACTTCCCCGCGGACGCCAGGACCTGACGTCTATAACGTAGAGGAGCGCCGCCCGGTTCTCGGACTTTATGAGGATGGCGTCATCTGGCAGGTGTTCTGTTGCTTGCACCTTTTTCTCTCCATATTGCCTTTGTAAGATTCACCCCTCTCCTGGCGTGTGGTTGCCGAGGTTGGTTTTCACAGCCTTGCAGCATCCATTGTGTGACTGCGACACAATGTATTTCTCCACTCTGCCCCAGGGCGGACCCTGGGCTGTTTGCAGCTTGGGTTGTTCCTGAATTGTGCTGCTGCGAACATTCCAGCATGCGTCCGTGGTGGACACACGTGGGCATTTCTCTCGGGTCCACCTGGGGGTGGAGCTGCAGGTCTCCTCTGTGTTGTGACTCCAGTTCTCAGACCCAAGTGTATCCAAGTCTTTTCACACCTCTCAGGCCCCCTGGGCTGGGAATTTCCTGCCTGGAATATGGAAGTAAATGTTGGGGGGGTGGGGAGCAGGACCAGGATGGGGGCCTCTGGGAACCCCGGGGAGGTGACCCTGACCCCGGGGAGGTGACCCCGACAGTTCACATCCCAGGTCCTGATTGTCCCCTCAGTGTCCCTCATGCCCTTGGTTTGAGCTGATTTGCTTGGGGAGACCATAGCAAGGACTTGGAAGAGCCCCAAGTTTGCGCTGGGGGTTTAGAATCCTGATCCAGTAAGAGATGCCACCTCAAAGGAGACCCTGGGCTTAGGGCAGCCCCACAGACAACCTAGGAGGTGCCAGCCTGTCTATCCAGGAGCTGCCCGGGGAAGGATGGGTTGGAAGTGGGGGACGGTTGGAAGGGGTCTGGGGAGCAAGGTCACAGTGGGGGCTGGGTGTTAGATAGTATTTATTCCAGGGATCTGTGCAGGCCCAAGGCAGAACTAGAAGAAGGAAACCCATTTGGGGTTAGAAAATAAATAGAAAAAATAACTTAGGAAGAAAAGCCCTCCTCTGGCCAATAACACCGTCTGAGCACAAATAGGGAAGTGATCTGTCTTTTCCTCGCCCGTGAAGCCTGTGAGGGGAGCGCGTCCCCACAAGGACGTGGCTGGGGGAGGGGCAGGGTGCAGGGTTTTCCCTAAAGAAAGGGGAGTCTTCCACCTCTCCCTGGGGAGACTCTGGGTTCCCCTGGGGGCCAGTTTCTATTTTGTGACGAAGTTCTCTAGTTGGGGGAGAGAAGTGTGACAGACGTCTCATTCTCTATTCTGCACACTCATCCGCACACTCAGGGAAGCAGGAGGCTGAGCGGAGGAGACTTGGACCCGGGAGGAGTCCTAACCTAATTCCCTCTAGCTGTGGTTGGGCCCCGCTTCGGGGGAGGATTTTTTTTTTTTTTAATGCTCCCTCTCCAGTCCTCAGGGCTTTCCTGGTGGCTCAGCTGGTAAAGAATCTGCCTGCAATGCAGGAGACCTGGGTTTGATCCTTGGGTCGGGAAGATCCCCTGGAGAAGGGACAGGCTACCCACTCCAGTATTCTGGCCTGGAGAATATACAGTCCACGGGGTCGCAAAGAGTCGGACACGACTGGGCGACTTTCACTTCTCCAGGACTCACTTCACACCCCAGGTCCTCTTTGTTGCCTCCTTTTGCCTTAAGAGGAACTTGCTTCCTTTCTCATGACAGGGCACTTGAACTTGTGTCTGAGGCCTCTCCCGAGGTCTTCGCAGATTCCCCCGGAGCCCGTGTGGCTGCTCCCGGCTGACCATCTCGTCTGGGAGTAGAGGTCAGAGGCCGTCTCTGGGGACAGGGCTGCAGGCTGGACATGCTTGATTCAGCTGCTTGTGTCTGCCCTGAGATCTCCCGGTGGACTGGCCCCCGCCAGGATTTGAACCGGGAGTATCGGAGACCTAGTGCCTTGCTCTGTAGCCTGTCTCTGGCCCAGGATCTCGGTGCTAAGGGGGCTTCTCTTCTCAGAGGCTGGTGATGGGTGGGTGTGCCAGGGCCTGCCCTTGTCCCCCACGCTGCCCAGAGCTCCCGTGGCCTCAGCTGGTTTCCTCGGTGGCCGTGTGCAGAGAGACAAATGTGCGCTCTTCTCCAGCTGCGCAAACACCAAGTCAAGGCCTCCGTGTCGAGTGCCTGGGAGGTCTCTTCCATCTGGCGAGGTGGAGACTCCTTCAGTTTTCAGGAACCAGTGGGAAAGAGTGGGGGTGGGGAGGAGAAAGGGGACAAGGGCGGACAGGATGGGGCCTCGGTGGGTGAGGAAGAACCCTGGTCGGTAAATGTGAGGCCCCTTTGTATCTCTCAGCATCGAGGCTTTCCTTATTGATATGGAAATATGGAGGGAACATGTGTGACTTCTGAGATGTGTCGCCAGGGACCTCACATTAGATACATTTCAATTTAACGGATGCTGAGAGCAGGGAGGTGACTCGGGGCAAGGCGCATTGGGAGCCTGCTCTGCCCCCTGCCCACGTCCCCAGGCCTTGTCCTCCCTGCTAGTCTCCCAGGCTGAGCTGGGAAACTCCAGTCTTCCTAGTTAAATATGCAGAGTCATTTCGCTTTCTCTCTGTCTCATTGCTCTGGGCATCAAGAGGATGCTCTGGCCCACCCAGGGGTTTAGCAAAACAAAGCAGAGCTCTCTCCCTAAGGAGATTCTGCAGGCTTTTATAAGAACACATGTTTTCTTTCCCATTACCTCCATTTCTCTGGAGGCTGCTAGGGGAAGAGATGGAATAGGAGTCTCAGCCTGTAGACCCTTGAGTCTCAGTAAATCAGACCCTCACATTTTATTGGAGGGGACACTGAGGCGCAGAGAAGGAAAGTGACCTATCCCTTCCCCCCACCATCCGGGGGGCAGAGCAGGTCTGGAGTCAAAGCCTCTCCTAGGACCTGGTGCTGCCCCCAGGCTTGGTCCAGCTCTGTCTGGCTCTCTTGACCCTTGCAGTTATTGGCTCCATCAGCTGTTTTGCAGCTTTTGTAATGGGGTGGGGCGGGGTAGGCATTGTCAGTGAGATTTTGGGAGGGGTGCAGACAGTGAACTCCGAGGGGAAAAGGACACTTGGGATGAGCCTGGAGAGAGGGCAGCAGTGTGACAGGGCAGCTGGCAGGCCCGAGCCGTTGCAGGGAACACCGCACGGCCCCAGGAGCTGTGACGTGGCTCAGTATTGCTGGAGTGCTGTGTCTGCAGGTTCCAGATGCTGCCCAAGCTCTGTGGTCCAGTCGGGCCCGAGTGCACGGCCTCAGATAACAGACTGGCTTGAGAGTGTTCCCAGCTGTGGTCTCACTTTCCAGTTTCCATCCAACTCCTTTGGGGAAGGGGCAACCCAGCTCCTGCTATGAGCGATCAGGGCAGCCCAGGGAGGCCAGAAACTGCATGATTCCAGGACGTCCATCCGGTAACCCTGAACATGGGGGGCTCCCATGGGCCTGTGCAAGGCAGCTCCAGGATCAGTCATCTGATGGGCTCCTATTTTTCTAGCTGAAATGATGGGAACTCCCCTCTGGTTTTACTCTGTGCTCCAAGCACTGGTTGAAAGTGAGGTATTGCATTTGGATGACAGGCTTGGGTGGGAGGTCTCTGGATGAGAGTACTTTCAAAGAGTCAACTGTCCCCAACTCTGTGGAGCTGAAAGAGAGAAGGAGCTATTTATATCTCGCTTGCTGAGGGACTAACTGATTGAGGCCATGAGTGAGTGGGGAGGGGCTGAGTGGTGGGAGAGACCTCACTTTGCTTCATCAAACACTACAGTGAAATTTCCCGATCCCAGTGGAAAAATCCACCCAGTTTTCTGAGAGGGGAAGGTGGGGAGACCATTAGCTCTTTTAGCTACTCAGGTGGGGAGGGGTGGAGACTGTTTCCTTCCTTCTTTCTGATGCCCAGTTTTTCCAGCACCCAACCCCTCCTCGTGTCTCCCCTCTGCTCCCCCCATCCTTCCCCCATCATTCATGGTCGCTCTTTTCTTTGGAGCCAGAGACTGAGGCTCTTTGAGTAACCTGCAGCCCCCAGCCCCCCAAGGCCTCCCTTCTAGGCTCAGGCCAGCTCAGCAAGCAGGGGCACCCAGCCGGAAGGTGACTTGGTATGAGAAGGCGGCCGCGGCCACTGGAATGGGCCTGGCACCAGGGGATACAGGGACAGGCACAGTGGAAATGTCACAAGTAGCCTGGGTGTCAGCCAGCCTCTCTAGGTCCCCCTTTGGCTCAGTCCCAAGCATGGAGCAGAGGAGACTGGCCCCTTCCTGACCCCCTCCCACTTGACTTCTTGTCTCTGCCTCTGGTTCCCTGTGGCTGGCTGTGATCCCTCTTGCCTGCATCCTGGCACCTTGAACTTGGGTTGCAGATGGGACCTAATGTTTATTGCCTTGAACTGGGGACACCGAGGCTGAGAACATTACGATGACACCCTTGGCCGCATGGCCCCTTGAGGGGTTGCTGTCAGAGGCAGGTGAGAGCCCAGGTCCACCCCAGGCCCTCTGAGTCCACCGAGCCCCGACCCTGGCTTTCTTGAGAAGCGGATGCTAATGGTGCTCAGCCCTCAGAGAGTCCCGTCACGTGCTGGAGCTGCTGCCGCCACCCCATGGAAAGTACCAGATCATGGCTGTCCCGGGGAGCAGCCCTCAAGCAGTGACTGGTGGGAGGTGGTGTATACATGCTCAGTCCCCTCGCCCCCGCAGGGAGAGAGCTGTGAGGCTGCTTCTGCACCAGCTGGTTTCCCCAGGGTGGTAACATGCCTCTCTGGTCTGTCTCCGCTTCCCTGGCTCACTTCCCCATAACAGCCTGCCCTCAAACCTTTATCTGGGGGGTCTGATTCTGGGGATCCCCATCCAAGGTGCCGCCTGACAACCCGCCCCCCACCAGCAGCCTAGGGAATCCCTGGGAACATCTGGATCTCTAGGGACCCAGGTCAGTTGTTAACGGAGATTCAGAGTCTGGCCCCTAAGGTTTGTAGGCAGCCTTGGTGGGAGCTGCCATGCCTGGAACCGAGCTCTGATGGATGGTTTGGAGGAACCATTTAAAACCTTCACAAAATTTAATTAAAAAGGAAGGTGGGGGCTGCTGTCCCACGCTGACATGCGTGGTGCTAATGATGAGGAGTGATAAGATGGGAAATTGTGGAAAGTCTCAGGCTGGTTAACAAGGTCTTGGTTGAAGCACCTCATTTTCATCTAATTTTATTCTTCACAAGGTCTCCTGGCTCTCCTGGAGTTGATCTCTGGGAACCCAAGGTCTGGCTTGAGAAGACAAATTCATGCTGGTTTTCTAGAGTGGGGTCTGGGGGAGTGGATGGGAAAGGGAGGTGGCCAAGGCCCCCACCCCTTTGAATACAGGCTCACAGCCTCTCCTGTGCATCTGAGTCACGTGAGGAGCAAGCAGAATGCAGAGTCCGGGGCCCCAGGTCCTAGAGATCTGAATCAGCAGATCTACACGAAGGCCCAGGAATCTAGACTTCACCTGACCAGGAGGTTCAGCTGTGGGTGGATGGTTGACTGTACTTTTAGAAATCCTGATCCACGAGTTCTGTCTGGAACTTGTTGTTGAGGGTCTTTGGGCCTTCCCTGTCATCTCACAGGCCTGAGAGTATGTCTAAAGCTCGATTTTGCAGATGAAAACCAAGGCTCAGAGAGGTTAAAAGATTATCCCAATGTCACACAGCTGGTAGGGAGCAGGGTGGGCCCAGGGATCTCCGGATTCCTGTCCTGCAGTAGTAAGTGGTGGTGCAGGCTCACTCTCCTGGCTCCCTCTCTTTCTTTCTTTTTTTTAAAAAAATTATATTGTGATGGTTTTTGCCATACATCCCCCCTCTTTCTGAGAAGAAGCGAGTGGGGCTGGGGTCTGAGCCACCCCTGACCGGACACCATGTGGTCTCAGGTGGCCTTGGGGCTGCCTGGGCCATGCCTGACGGTGCCCACCCTCTGCCCACAGTGATGGGCGGGCCAGAGTCCCGTGGTGTCCTCCGCAAGATGAGCGACCTGCTGGAGCTGATGGTGAAGCGCATGGACACGCTGGCCAGACTGGAGAACAGCAGCGAGCTGCACCGGGCTGCCAGCGACGGGCATTTTGCCGTGGACAGGTGAGGGGGGCCCAGGAGTGGGAGGGGCTCCTGGAGTGGGGGAGGAGTGGTACCCGCTATACCGGGGATGGGGCCGGGGATACTGCCGCAGAATGCATTTTACACACACACACACACACACACACACACACAGTAAATGCAAACTGTGTGGTGTTTGCAAATCTTCCCTAAATGGCTTCCCGTTGTACGTTATCTGTGACAGTTTTGAGCTCTGCCGTGGTGACCAGTATGTGTGACTGTGCATGGGATGCAATGACCTCAGTGATCATCTGTCTTCCTCCCATGGACCTGGGCCATCGTTGCAAGAATGATTGCCTGGTTTATGCATTCTAAATATTCCCCTGCTGAGGCCACAATATGCAGAGTTCCCTTAGGGTTTGTGCGGCAGCCCCACGTGCTTCTGCCTGTCCCTGGGAACCCAGGTGGTGGTCTGAGGTGTGAGGTCCTCCTGAGCCCCTGAGAATGAGGGGGCAGGAAGCCAGGGCTGGCCCAGCTGGGAGTCCTGGCCCCCAGACTCGGATGTGGAGGAGACGAGGCTGGGACCCCACCCATCCCAGGGGACAAGCTGCACTTGACCTTTTATTAATAGATACTGGGTTCTTGATGAGCTGGAGCTGCTCAATGTGTTTTGAAAGTGTTAGTCGCTCAGTCGTGTACAACTGTGTGACCCCACGGACTGTAGCCCACCAGGCTCCTCTGTCCTTGGGATTCTCCAGGCAGGAATACTGCAGTGAGTTGCCATGCCCATCTCCAGGGGGCCTTCCCAACCCAGGGACTGAACCCAGGTCTCCCGCATTGCAGGCAGATTCTTCACCATCTAAGCCACCAGGGAAGCCCTGATGTGTTCTAACTGCTGAAAAATTAGTTTGAAACCCACACTTTTACACAATTTGGGAGAAGCTATACCTCAGCCAATGTGATTTGCTAAAAGTGTTCTGCTGCCGAAAAATGTGTTTGAAATCCACACTTTTGGACAATTTGTGGGAAAAGCTATACCTCAGCCAATGTGTGGCATGTAAAAGCCAAAGCCATTTCTGAAGTTTGGTGTTGGGTAAGATCAAAGGAAGGGATGGTTGTGAGTGCTGGTCCTTGAGGGGTCCTGGCCCGGGGGAGCCTGAAGCACAGCCCGCTCCTTCGGTCTAGTGGGAGATCCTTGGCCCCACAGGCTGCCTGGGCTGGACAGCTGGCCCTGGGCCCCTACTTCAGCAGACCTCTGTGACTGAATGTTCTGGGTGCCCAGTCGGGTGGGCCAATATCATCATTCCTGTCCTCATGAGGGTTTCCCTGATGGCTGAAGAATCTGCCCGCAATGCGGGAAACCTGGGTTTGATCCCTGCGTTGGGAAGATCCCCTGGAGGAGGGCATGGCAACCCACTCCAGTGTTCTTGCCTGGAGAATTCCCACGGACAGAGGAGCCTGGCGGGCTACAGTCCACGGGGTCGAGAAGAGCTGGACATGACGGAGCGACTCAGCACAGCACAGTCCTCTTAATGGGTGACATTTACTCACAGCTCACCGTATCGTGTTACCGCCGAGAGCTCGTCAACCCCACAGTGCCTTACGGGGAGGAAACGGAGGCACAGAGGTGTTTAGGAACTTGCTCAAAGTGGCACAGCTGCTGAGGAGCTGGGCCTGGCTCAGGGCCCAGGTCAGCTGGCCCCACCAGAAGCCCACCTTTCTAAATACCGAGTTCTTGGTGGCCATTCATTAAATATGCAGTTTCTTGGGGGTTTGTTTTTAATCCCTTTGCAAGATTTTTCGTATCAATTAGTAATAATTTGCAGATCAGGAGACACAAATCCTTCATTAGACCTTTGCTGTGTTTTTTTTTGTTTTGGGAAATGTAGGCACTAAAATTACATTACTGGACATAGAGAATAAAGAGGGACCCCAAGGGGGATGAAGTGGGAAACTGGGATTGACATATATACACTATTGATACTGTGTATAAAATAGATAACTAATGACAACATACTGTAAAGCCGTGGGAGCTCTAGTCAATGTACTAAATGATCTACATGGGGAAGAAATTCAAAAAAGAGAAGGTATAACTGGCTGACTTTGTTGTACAGCAGTAGCTGACACAACCCTGTAAAGCAACTATACACCAATAAAAATTAATTTAAAAATAAATAAAATTATGGTTCCGGAGCCTGGGATTAAATGCAGTGGTGGGTGTGAGGAGCTCGCCAGAGTGCCCAGCTCCTGGTGGGAGCTCTTCCCCCTTGGGAAGTCGGGGTCCCTGGTTACATGCTGTGGCTCTCCAGAGCCTGAGCATCTGACAGAAGAAACTAGAGATCTCTCTGCTCCTGAAATACGTCTTGGCACCAGTGAAGCGCCAGGCACTGCTCCTGGGGCTGGGGACACAACGATGAGCCTTGTCCCCATTCCTGTGGGGAAGACAGACAGTAACTGAGAAAAAGAAAGAAATGAGATAATGTAGAGATCTTGAGCCAAGCTCTAAGCATTGAGAGAGCAGATGACTGGGAAAGAGGCTATTCAAACAGGGTGGTCTGTCAAGGCCCATGGGAATGGGTGATCTGTGAGCTCAATTCTGAATGAGCAGGAGGAGCCAGCCACATGAGGAGCTTGGGGGTAGAGAATTTGAGGTAGAGAGAACAGCAAGTGCAAAGGCCCTGGGGAAGGAACAGGCTTGGTGTCTTTTTAAAAAATATTTATTTATTTGGCTGCTCCAGGTCTTAGTTGCAGCATTCGGGACCTTTAGTTGCAGCATATGGGATCCAGTTCTGACCAGGCCTCTGCGTTGCGAGCACAGAGTCTTAGTCACTGGACCATCAGGGAAATCCCAAGCTTGGTATCTTGAAGGAAAGAAACCAGCATGAAGGTCCACCTGGCAGAGTGTGGTGGGGGCTGAGAGAAGGCAGCGGGCAGGCGGCCTAGAGCTTTGTCAGTGATGGCAGGTGGCGTTGGGACCCTATTCTTAGAGCTGAGGGACATCTCTGCATGAGGGGGATGTGAGAGGGGAAGAGAAGGGCTGGGGCAGAGACAGGTGGCGATGGTTTAATCGCTAAGTTGTTTCTGACCCTTGTAACCCCATGGACTGTAGCCCACCAGGCTCTTCTGTCCATGGGATTCTCCAGGCAAGGACACTGGAGTGGGTTGGCATGCCCTCCTCCAGGGTGCAGAGACGGGAGATGGAGGCAAAGGTGCTGGGCGCCCCTGGACTCCCCGGGGGTCTGAGGCTGCTTCTTCTCTGTGTGCACAGGGTGCTTCTCTCTGATGCTGCTGTGTCCCCTCTGATTTAGCCCCTTGCCCCCCCCCACCCATCCTTTCCACCTTCCCAGCTGCCCCAGCTGTGCTCCCCGCTGTCCGGGCTGCAGATCCAGCCTCTGTCCACACTGGTCTGTTCACCAGGGGGAGGGGCAGAGAGTCAAGTGCTCCTGGGCTGCTGGGCCTGCCTCCTGGGGCTGGGAGTGCTCCCGCCAGCACATTCAGTGTCTCTCCGGTTTCTTCCCATCCCAGGCCGCCCTCCCTCCCCTGCTCTGCCCCTCATCTCCACCCGCTCCAGCTTCATCCCAGGAAATAGCAACAATCCATCATGACCAGCAGAGCCCATCAAACCCCACAGGCAGAGCCATAAATTTCAGGGACACTGTTGCTTCTGGCTTCAGGGAGCGGAGCGGTGGGTGTGTCCCGGGCACGCGGAGGCTGCCTGCTCACCCTTCCCATGGGCACGAACACTGCAGTCCCCTCCTTACCCTGACCCCACTCCCGGCTGTCCAGCATGGCGCTGGCAGATGAGAACCCTGCCGCCGCTGTGTTTCCAGCAAACTCTCAGTTATCTGCACTTGGATTTCTCACTTTGCAATTATCTGTGGCTTTAAAAAGAACAACCTCCACTGCCCCCCTTCTGCCCTTTGGAAGCTTCTCGGCTGTGCCTCCCACTCATGGCTGGTATATATCCTTAGGGAAAGCAAATTCGCTTTATTCAGCCTAGGAAGAAACAATTCAGGTTTATTTGCCGATTTATTGCAAATGGCATCGTATTATGTATCCTAAAACCGAATAGTGATCTCTGAATTTTCCATAAGGCCTCTCTGCAGTGGCAAAGACAGCTGAGATTTGAAGCTGTCTGCGTTTGAGCCAATCTGTATTTGTCGAGTGCCTACTGGGTGCAGGCTCTGGGCTGGGGTGTCAGGAATGGATGGAGGAAACCCAGAAGACGGAAGTCAGAGTTCTTGTCCTCAACGAGTTTCAGAACTCCTTAGGAAGAGGGAGCCAGCAACCCCTCCCTGTGGAGAAGGGATGGCAGGAAGGAAGATCCATCAGAATTATCATATGTGAGTAGGGAGTTGAGATTTTATTTCTCCCCACCCCCCAATTTTTTAAAGCTTTATTTAAAAACTCAAAAATTGTTCTGAGGACTTCCCTGGTCATCCAGGGGCTAAGCCTCTGGGTTCCCAATGCAGGGGGCCCAGGTTCCATCCCTGGTCAGGGAACTAGATCCTATGTGGAACTACTAAAGATCCCACATGCCTCAGTGAAGATCAAGATCAAAGACCTTGTATGCCACCACTAAGACCCGGCGCAGCCAAATAGACAAGTAAATTAATAATAATCATAAAAAGCTTCTAGACACTCTCGGCCGTCTCTGTGTTGGTGGGGCTAGGTGCCAGGAGTGTAGCTTCTGTGTGTGGGGGTGGGGTGTAGGAGAGGGGACACACTACTGGTTAAGATGACTTGGGGCTCAATTTTAAAAGACATGCCCCACTTCTCACAGGCCCTGTGCTGGGTCCAGCCTCTGGATTTGCCCCTTCCTAATGTGACAGATCCGGGAGTGTGTCTGGACCCTGGGCTGGGGAGAAGCCGGACTGATACGGGGGTGTGGGGAGATGTTGGTGACTGGTTGAGAAAGTCACTCCAGGGCAGACACCTGTCAAATGTGACATAAATGCGAAGGGTTAAACATCCCTAACAGGGACAAAGGTTCTCAGCATCCCACTGTATGCCGTTTGTAAGACAGGCCTCAAAACCAGTGA